CAAAATTTAGCTATTACAAACTGTGCCTCTATAAACATGGTTGTGCACACATCACTGTGCTACGATGCTTTTAATTCTTTTGGGAAGATACCAAGAAGGAGAATAGCTGGGTCAAATGGAACCTCTAGTTTTAGTCTTTTGAGAAATCTCCACACTGTCTCAAAATAAAAAAGGGGGTAGGGTTGAAGATATAGCTTAGCATGAAGGCCTCAGTTTCATTGCCCAGTACAGAGAGAGAGACAGACAGACAGAGACAGAGATTCTGATATGCACTCATTCGCAGATTTTTTAAAATCCTGTTTCCCAATCATCATTCCTCCCCCTGTTGTTCCCTCACAACCTAACAGTCCTAAACCCTTAACCTAAGTTGATGTTCAATAAATGTTGAACAGGGCCGGGGATTTAGCTCAATGGTTTCGCTGCCTGCTGCGCAGATGCAAGGATCTGAGTTTGATCCCCGGTACCAAAAACTAAAAATAAAATAAAATAAATAAATAAATGTTGAACAAACGGTTTAGGATCCATTTTCGGGAGAGTGAAATGGATACTTTGGGGGGATAGAAATATGGATTACTTTGGTTTTCTTCCTTCTACAGTGGTACCTTGACACTTGTTCATTAATTTCAGGAGGTACAATGCGTACCAAAGCAATTACTTTGGAGGCAAAGGGTAGCAAGTCACAAGGGAATGGACTCCGACAAGTCCTGCTTGCATGTTCAGTACAAACAAACCATGAATACTGGGACAAAATTTTCGAGTCAATATGCATCATGTACCAAATTCAACAAGTTTCAAAGCAGTTGAGTACCGAGATATGACTATAGTTTTGCTTGTTTTTGCCATACTAGGGACTGCACTCAGTGCCTTTGCCATGAGCTATATCCCTAGCCCTTTTTAAATTTTTTTATTATGACTCAGGACCTCTTTAAATCACTAAACTGCCCAGGATGGGCTAGAACTGTTGATCCTCCTGCCTCAACCTCTCTGCGCTGGGATTACAGACATGTGTCACTGTGCCCAGCTCCTTCTTGTCTCTATTTATTAAATTTCAAACAAAGTAAACACCAATCCAGAATTTCCTCTACTAAGTGGGCATCATTTTTCTTATGATCCCCTCCCCTTTCAGAGTTCCCATGGCAGGAAATGTTTAATGAATGTCCTTTCTCTTCCCTTTCTCTGGTGCTCAAAAGCATCCACAAAGGGGAAGAAATGCTAATTATGAAGGTAGTCAGGTCCTCTCTTCTAGAAAACAAAGATGACAGTCCAGGAAGAAAAAAAATCTCTGCAGGCCCCCTGTCCCTCTCCTCCTAGCTCAGTTCCCGCAGCCACAGGGAAAACAGAAAACCCATCCTAGCAACACAAAATGCCTGTCCTTCTGAATATGTGCTTCCACCCAATCCCAGGAAGACTCAAAGGTACACAGGTCCAAGAAGCCCCACTTGGCCTGAACTAAGGTTCTGTGAATACACAAGCAAAGGACTTCGAGGGAACCTGCCCCTTTTCTCCCCCTGGTGAAGAACAATGGGACCTGGGAAGAAGTTCTGGGGTATAGGGGAATCCAGATCATTGAGAAGGGCAGAGCTGGAGAGGTGCTTTGATATCCTTTGGGGCCTGGGGTCATTTTGCAGCACCTCCCTTCTTTCCCAAGGCTTCTGTTCCAGTTCAGAGCAAGGAAAAGGGGAGGGCATCAACCTTAAGCTCTTAACATATGCCAGGCCCTTTATACATATTATCTTATTTATTTTCCCAACAGCTCCATTGTTAAAATCATTGGACAGAGAAGGAAACTGAGGCACAAAGAAGATGATTTACCCAGTGTAGCACAGATAATAAGTGAGAAAGCTGGAGCCCTGGCCTCTGTGTTCCAAAGGTTCTGCTTACAGCCAAGTCTGCAGGGGATAGAGCCCTGGACTTGGAAAAAAGAGCTGCTTCATTCTAGCTGAGAAGGCTCTGCAAGAATCAGGAGCAGTTTTTGTGGTCATTTGTAAAGAAGCTTTAATGGGTTGTAGAGGAGACACTGTAGCTCATCAGCTATAGGGTCACTCTAACATTACAGTTTGTTGCCATGAGAACTTTTCTGACCAGTTTCTGTCTGGAGTATCAAACAAAAACTCAGCTATGGCCTAGAAGCTATAGGAGCTCAGGGCAAGACTTTTACAGGTATCTGAAAACATATTCCTCCTCCAGGGATTAAAGGGCAATGAGGAGGATCAAGATGAGGAAAGAACTTCTGTTCAGGTGGAAATCCTCATTAGTGAGGCTATCTGGGACTCTACAGATTAATGTCAGTGCCTACAACTGTGCAATTGTTTAAGGATGAGAGAAGCAGTTTCTACAAATCACATCTGGTGACCAGACCTTTAGATGAGATGTCCTATCTACATTATGCCAGTCTTCCCTTGTCTTTCATAAGAGATCAGAGCACACAGGAGTGTGTAAAATAAATGCATATAATAAGATTGAGACTGATGGCCTTTGCCCTGGAGAGGTGAACACTAAGCCATCCTTAACAGTAGCCAGACAGATGTCGAGAGAGACTGTGATCCGAATTAGCTTAGGTAGGACACTTAAAATCTTGAGTATAGATTCTACTGGCACAGGAAGCAGGACCCCAGTGACAGGGAGGGTTCCAAAGACCCTGTGTGAAGGAATAAGTTGGTGTAAGCAGAGGTGGTCATTTGCCCAGTGTGGTGAATCGTCGGAGATAAGTAGAAACTATTTGTAGCATACCTGATACAAAATGGCATCAGGTAGCTGCTGACACTGAATCTTTAAAATAATGAAGGAAAAAAAGTATCAAGATCCTCAAATGTATTCCAAGACACAAAAATCTCAGTTCACAGAACAAAAAGTCTACATGAATCACCAAAGGAAAGAAGCCTCCAAAGAAAGAAATGAAGAAAAGCAAACTAAATTTCCAAGGAAACCAAGGATGAAACTGTAGAAATGCCAAAACTTCGTGAGCTAGAAAACAGGCAGATTGTTTTGGTGACTTCTCATGATTCAAAAGGAAACTCACAAAATAGAACCTCTCATTTCACAGGGAAAATACAGACAGACCAGAAAGTAGAGGCTGCTCATGACATACCCAAGAGGACCTAATATGAGAAGGCAACATGGTTTCTAGAAGGAAAGGGGCTAACTGATGTCCTGGAGGAGTGAGACGGAGTCTGGGCTTTAGTCAGGTTGACAAGGACTAGAATCCTAACTTTGCCATGTAAGAACTGTATACATTTGGGCAACTCTTTAATCTTATCTCAAACCCCAGTCTTCCCATCTGAGAAATGGAAACAGAAGACTTACCTTAGAGGATTAAGGACTGAATGAAATTTGGACACAATGTTACCACATATGCATGAATAGATACTTCTCTGAATAAAATCTAAACAAAGATCATCCACATTATTAAAGGCTAGAGAAATGGATTTTTTAAAAAAGGATTGTATGGGGCCAGGGATTTAGCTCAGTGGTTTCACCGCCTGCTGCACAAGCGCAAGGACCTGAGTTCAATCCCCGGTACCAAAAGAAAAAAAAAACAAATAAAAAAGGATTGTAATACATATTTGCATAAGGCAGAGACTTTAAGGAAGAAGAATCCAACTGTATTTTAAGCTAGCAAGCTATCTTTCCTGCCCTGACTCCTACAGCACTCTTCACTACTACACCACTCTGACCCACAGAGAACTTTGTATTCTATCATTTTCTTGCTCAGTTAGCCAGATTATAAACTGCTCAAGTAAACACTCCTGCCAACTACCTATTACAGTCCACATCTTAGCTCCTGGTCAACAGATCCCCGAAGGCCTGGCAGTCAAAGGTGTCAAAATAAAGGTAGCCAGCATCTGGATGCAGAAAGCAACCACAAACTTAATCCTACCCTTGCACAGAGCCCTGGCTTGGCTACAGTTGAAATACCTCTGGTTTGGCTGCTTGTACATCAAGACTGATCTCAGAAGCTGTAGAGAAGCAGCTCAAATCTCCCAGTGAGTTTGAAGTGTTTTCCTGAGAACAAAATAAAAACACAGGGATTCCTGAGTTAAGCAAGCCGAGGGCAAACCTTTACCTGCATTGCCATGAGTTTACTGCTCCACATGGGTGAAAGCAGGCAGCATTGTTCTTGAAAACAGTTCTTAAGACAAATGAAATACCATTTGGAATGCTAAAAACACCCTGCCAGAGGGCAGGTAATAAGACCAGAATAAAAATAACCCAGGTAAATGCAATGCACCTTAACAGAATGATCACTTCCCCAGGGAAACCGGGGCTATTTGGGAGACCTTCACACAAGTTAAAGACGATTTAGTGAAACTCCAGCCCTCTGGATCCCCCAAATCCTTCCCCATCTATTAACAATACCCAGCTGGAGACTGACAGGCTGGCAGCACCTCTGCCTTCCCTTGCATCCCTCCCTTTTTGTCAGCAACACTGACAATGGTGTGAATCAGAGGTGATGGAAACACTTGAGTAAGCAAAAATAAAAGAAGGAAAAGAAAGAATGGGCATCCTGAAGAAAAGAGATATGAGCTTGTGTTTTTTCTTAAGTTTTTTGAGACAGGGTCTTACTATGTAATTCAGGCTGGCCTTGGACTCATTATGTAGCCCAGGATGGCCTTGGTGATTCTCCTGCCTCGGCCTCCCAAGTGCTGCCATTACCATGCCACCATTGCCGGCCATTCTTGTATCTTTTGGTTTTTTGGTACTGGGGATTGAACTCGGGTCTTTGCACTTGTGCAGCAGGCAGTGAAACCACTGAGATAAATCCCCAGCCCCATTATTGTATCTGTTTTTTTTTTTTTTTTGGTACTGGGGATCGAACTCAGGACCTTGCACTTGCAAGGCAGGCGCCAGAATCACTGAGCTAAATCCCCAGCCCCTTCCATTCTTGTATCTTGATCAGGGTGTTGATGGCATGGAAGCATCACATGTCAAAATTCACAGGCACTTAAGAGCTGTTTTTCACTCCTAAGACACATATCTCCATTAAAACAGTGAGCCACAAGCTGTTTGCTATCCTTTATTAAGACACCCCATATCCTCATGGGACTCCAGCCAAACCAGACAGGTCCCCCAAATATAGCAGGAGGCCTGGAAGGGGAGGGGAATGACATGATCCCACCACACTTCCCTGGAAACAAACCCACCACAGACAGAAAGACAGACAGGGGCCAGGGAGAAGAACTGGCCTCTCAGTTCTCCCCTCTTTATACCCACTCAAAAAGAAATTCAAACACTGACTACGCAGCCCGCAGCCCCCCACCCCACCCATAGCAGCGTTTGTGGGACCACCCCCCTCTGCAAGGGGTGGCCCCAAGGCAGCTTCCTATCGCTCACTTTGGTTTGCTCCTGGCAACTCTGCCCTCTTCCTTCACTCAGCCTCCGGCTTAGTCACCACCACATCTTCTGTCACCTACTCAGACCTTCTCTCTCCTCTCTGGGCCTACCCGCCCCAGGGCTTCTGGGAAAGCATCCCTGGCATCCTTGTTCCTCCCAGCAAGGGCTTCGCCAGGCCCTCTGCCCAGGACATGGGACTCACACTGCTGCCCCACTCTCCTTGAGGTCAGGGGCTGAGCGCTGCCGTCTCATCCGTGGCGGAGTAGTGTATGGGGGGTAGCGGGGCCCTGGGGGGCGCTGGGCTGGGTAAGGTTGAGGCTGCTGGGGATAATAGTTGTGCTTTTTGGACTGGAAGTTCTGGGGTTCTGGCTGTGTGGAACCCCCTCCCCGGGATCGGCCTCCTCCATCCAGGGAGTTTCTTCGGGGACGGTGGGACCTACGGGGACTCGGAGGCCTATGCGCAGGAGTGGCAGGAGGTGGAGTGACTTCCTCAGGAGGTGGAGGTGGAGGTGGAGCTGGGGCCTCCCCGCTCCCCATTCCTGGCCAGGACTCCCGGTGCTGGGGGTTGCTCTTGAAGGGGAATCGCAGCTTACAGTCGTGAGGGGGCACAAAGCGCGCCGGGGGCCTGCGCAGACCCCCGCCCCGGCCCCCCGAGCCCTGCAGTCCCTGCAGCCGCAGCTGCTCCTGCTTGAGCCAACGAAGGCGGCCTCGGCGGAAGGCAGGGTCCTCCTCCATCAGCCTCGACACTCGCTCCCAGCTGGACAGGGGTGGGGAGGGGGGCCGGACTGAGGGTGAATGGTCACTGGACACTGCCTCCTCTACCGCCTCTGACCCTTCAGGTGGGGACCAGGTGACCTCACTGGCTTCTTCATGCTCATCCTCATGATCCTGAAAGGGAAGAGGGTGAAAGAAAAGAAGGAACATGAGGATAGCTGAGTCCTGAGGACGTGTGGCTTTAAGAGAGTAAGTCAGGACTGGAGTAACTGAATGTGAAGGAGTTCAGAAAAGGGCTTGAGATATAGAAACTGGACTGGTAATGGTTAAGGAGTGCAGGCCTGAGGGCAAGACGGTCTGGGCTCAACACTGGGTCTGACACTTTCTAGCTGTATGGTCAGATTTTTGTGACCTCTCTGTGTCTGTTTCCTCATCTGTACAATGATATCCAGCAATACGGTCATTATAAGAATTAAATGAGTTATATTTCAGATGGAAAAGAGCAGAGCAGGGAAGGAGGCTACAAAGCTATTATAGGGATGGCCACAGAGGTGAACAAGAAGGGATTCACTGAGAAGTCATCATTTTAGTCAAGGCCTGAAGGAAATGAGGAGGAAGCTACGTGGCTGTCTGGGGGAAAAGCATCTAGGCAGAGGGAACAGCAGATACAAAGGAGAATGGGGCATTCCGAGCAAGTTCAAGGAAGCTGGAGTGGAGCAAGCGAGGAGAGAGGACCAGCAGCTACGCTGGAGAGGGAAGCTTTAGTAACCTCAAGCCATGATTATGACTGTGGTTCCATCCCCAAGAAAACTAGAATGGAGCAGAATCTCAGTCTGTCGTTTTAAATAACCCCCAGTGGTTCGCACAATACCTGCCCTACAGTGGGCATTCAAATACCCATTTGTTGTGAAAAAATGCAGAGCAGGGTTAGGTAACAGCACTACCACTCACAGAGCTATTGTGAAGATTAAGGAGAAGGCACAAAAAGCACTAGGCACTGTGACCACCTCAGAGTAAACAGTCAACCAGGGAGAGTACACACAGCTTCCTCAAGCTGCAACTTAATAATTACGTACTTTGTATCAGTGGTTCTCAAGCTGTATTCTACTTCAGAAACACCTGGGGAACTCATTATAGATGCAAGTTCATCCCCAAAGATGTGGGTTCAGTAGGCTGGGGTAGAACCCAGGAATCTGCATTTTTAATTAGCAGCCTGGTGACCGGGAGACGTGTTATTCATAAACGCTTTTAAGAAAAACTATGTAAACTTCAATAAGCTTTTATCAGAGAGGAAGGAGATAGGGACTTGAGGGGAGATACAGGTTCCTCAGGGAGGAAGGAGCTGAAAGAGGTTTAGAAAGGAGAGAGGTAACTGGGCCAGGCCTCCCTACCTGAGTCAGGGGGATGACCCTCTCCATGCGGAGCATTCGGTCCCGCAGGGCCTGCAGCTCTCGGTCCTTGCTGCTATTCTGCAGCTTCACCTCCTGTAGAATCCCTGTCAGCTTATCGATGTGAGCACGGAGATCCTCCACCTCTGCTCCTCGGGCTCCCTCCTCCCCGCCTCCACTGCCACCTCCGCCGCCGCCTTCTTCCTCTCCCACTGTATCCCAGACATCCCGGGCCACAGCCCTCCAGGCATCTCCAGGACCCTCAGGCTTGCCGTAGGTGCGACACAGCTCCCTCATCTTGAGAGCAGCCAGGGCCTCGATCTCAGCCCGCCCATGGCGGAAGTCAGCCAGGGCGACCTCATAGCAGATCTCCTTGACTGCTTGCATCTTCAGGTCAGCCATGGTAGCCCAGCGGGGGTCTTTGCCCTGTAGGCGCCTCCTCTGGGGGATCTGATAAACCCTCCTAGGGGCCCTACGCTTGCCACTGCTGGGAAGGCCACAGCGCTTGACGATGGTCTGAACCGTGGTGGGCGGCAGCTGCTCCCGTAGGGAGGAGATCAGCCGCCAGCTCTCCTCACAGGAGCGCTTGTCAGAGTCGTCCCCACTGTCAGAGTCTGCATACTGGGGTCAGAGAGAGTGGAGACAGGGAGAGAGTTAAGGACATCCCAGAGCCCAGCCTTGTTCAGATACCTGGGAAACACCCTATCAGCACACCTGGGTTCAGGTCCTGCTCTACCTCTTATGAGAATAAGAATGTTTAATCTCTGCTGGTCTGGACAATGGAAATGATGACAGTTATCTACTTCACAGATACGTTTGAAGGATTAAATATTTATAACAAGGACTGGCACACAGAAAGTGATCATAAATATTAGGTGTAGCAAATCAAGTCTAAAATTTTGTGTCCATACAGTCATGTATTGCTTAATCACAGAGATACGTTCTGAGAAATGTTTCCTCAGGTGATTTCATCATTGTGTGAATGTCACAGAATGTACTGACACAAACTAAGGTGGTTACATGTTACTAGTAATATAATCTTATGGAATCACCATACTATATGAAGTCCATCATTGACAGAAATCTCACCCAGGACATGAAGGCCTATTATTGCAAGTCCATCAAAGACCAATCTTATGGCTAGGTGTGGTGGCACAACTTGTAATTGCAGCATTCTAGAGGCTGAGATAGAGGGATTGCCATGAGTTCAAGGCCAACCTGGGCTACATAATCAGTTCAAGGGCAGCCTGAACTATAAGACTCTATCTCAAAAGAATAAAAAACCCAAAAATCAATCTAAAGTAACTGATAACACTTGGATGTAGTCAAAATCACTAAGGTAGCAATGGATCAACTGGAGTCTGGGGATCCCTGGTCAACTGGAAGGAACTTTAGTGTCCCGTCCCACCCCCCACTGTCACATCATATCTCTCTCCTCATTTCTTCCTCTTAGATGCTGCCCTGACACCTCAGCCCACCCCACCTTCCCACTTGGGCTCAGAGAGCAGCACACTGAATGCAGAGTCAGGCTGAAGTGTTGCCAGCTTTGCTGCTCATCTGCTTGCCAGCCTGTCCCCAGGTTCTGCCTGTCCTACAGCACCCTGTTGCCCTCACCAGTCGCTGCTGCTCCAGCAGAAGGTCAGCCTCTTCCTTTTCTTTCCGGTACTGATTCTCCAGATCCTGAAGCCTAGAATCAAATCGGGCAGAGGAAAGGAAGAGCTGGGGGAGGGGAGGCCTGTCTGGTGCCACTTCAGTGGGGTACTTGGTGACAAGAGGACACTGGGTCCCTAGGGCCTGCAGGGGCACAAGGGGAACCCCCCTCATACCTCTTCTCCATTTCCAGCTTTATGTCGATGCCCTGCTGTTCCAGAAGTTCCTTCTGGGCAAAGTTCCAGTCAACAGGCTCAGAGGGCGGTCCTGGGGGTGGGGGGACCCCTCGTTCCCGTTCCAGCCGTGCCTGCTCCGGGTGATTGAAGCGGAAAACGTGGTTTTTGCCCATCACAATCCTATTCCCTGGAAATGGAAAAAAGGGGAAAGTAGAGTTTCTCCCCTATAATTGCAAATCCATCTCTACAAGCAAGGCATACAGGAGCTTGCTCTTGAATCCCAGGAGCCTTAGGCTCCCATAACCCCAAGCAGAGGGCCAGTCACAGTTGACACTGCCCTGGTTGATTCACTTGATCTCTATCAGCAAAGGGACTTTGAGGAGCTGGGAATCCTTGTCCTGGTTCCCTGGGACCATAAGAGAAACCAAGAACTGACTCCTCAATTTTCACATCCCAGCTCCTCCTATATAACCCCATGCTACTTCTGATTTATTTTAGGGTCCTACCATAGGATGTACCTAGAAAGTCCTGCCCTGTGATTGCTATGTGTGCCCATGTCCCAGACCTTCAGTTTGTGACACATTTTCTACCTGACTTCAGCACCAGCGGCTCTGTCACCAGCTTCCCATTGACATACGTCTCAGCTCCTTCACAAGGCTCCAGAGTGACCACCACTGTGAGGAAGGAGAGGGGAAGGAAAAATCAGACCTGGGAAAGGCAGTTATGGTCACAGATTCCCACCTTGCCTGGCCCCCAAAACCACACATGCACCACCAGTCCCACCCCCAGTACCTGTGGGGGGTGCCAAGTCCCCTCTGGTGGCAGGCAGCACAGGAAAGGAAGAGCAGAAGGAGGGTTAGAGCCCAACTACAATTCCCAGAAGCTTCTGAGGTGGCCCTACTCCCCACTACCATCCTCCCCAGCAGCAGCAAGAAAACCCGTAATTCTCAGAATGCTTCATTTCTCATATTCAACTGGCCAGAGCCCTTCCAGACCTTCCTACCTTTTCGAAAACATCCCTGGCCAGGCCTGGATTCCTCCAGTAGGTTCCTAGCCCACCTCTGTGTCTGATACATCTTGCAAACTTCCACCTGACTAATCTCCTCTCGACACAGATGACATATGACAAGATAGAGTCAATGCAACACAAACATCTATCAAAGTACTCCTCAGTACAAATCGCTGAGCCTGCTGCTTGCTTGAGACATGAAGATACATGAAGGAGCTCTCCTACCCTCAAGGAGCATTGCCTTGTTGTCACCAAGTGACCCCAATATCCCAAAGACCCAGGCCCTACGACTCCTTCACCAAAGACACTGAGCAACATCTAATTTCTGTGGTAACTTATAAAATGTGATAATGAAACCTTATTTACAGAGTGGTTGAAAGATTCAAATAAATAAACCATAAAGTAATAAGCAAACATGACTTTTATTATTATTTACACTGAAAGTAAAAAAGAAACATGGAAACTGGAATGAATGAGGAGGCTGAGATGAGGACTATGAATCACAGAGGACAAAGAGACCAAAGAACCTTGCTTAAGGATCATGCCTAAGGAACCCTAGAAAGGATTATGTGAAAGTAGCAACTTTCGACCTGATGCTCAAAGGCAGACTCAGATTTCAAGGGGCATAAATGATAAAAAGAGAGAAGTCCTGGGAGAGACAGCTAAAGGACATCACCGCACAGGTTTATCTCACCTTTACTCCCTTATTTCCCACCACGCCCCGGGCATTCACTGATTGCACAAATATATTATGACCCTACTATACGCCAGACACTATTTTATTAGATTTTGGAGCCTAATAAAAGAGACAAAAATTTAAAAATCCTGCTTTTACAGAGCTTACTGCTGGCTGGTAAGACAGATGATAAACAACATAACTTAAGTCATTTAATTCTAATAATTCTTAAAAGCAGACAATTGAAAGTTCCCTCTAAAGGATGGGATAGGGGTTATGGACAGAAAATATAGCTAGGGGAAATGACCGCTCCAGCCTAGCCAGGCAGCCTCCTCTCTGTCCTTGAACTTTCGACAATCTGGCAGCACAGGGCAAAGCCTACTGTCCTGTATTCCTTCAACTCCACCATTTTCTAGCTGTGTAGTCTTGGGGCAGATTACCCAACTAGTAGTTTCAGTTTTGTCACCTGTGAGCTGCATCAGAAAATGCAAGGAGATGAACACAAGTAGATGGACAGTAATTACTATGTCCATGCTGCCCACCTTCTCTGCCTGCATGTAGTCAAGTGCTGAATATGTGGTAAGGATGGACTAAATCTCTAGGGCCCCACTCTTTGGGGTACAGAAACATAGGCTGTTTTTACTGACTTTTTTTTCTTGCAGTGCTGGGGATTGAACCCAGGGCCTTGTGCATGCTAAGCAAGCACTCTACCACTAAGCTACATCTCCAGTCCTTTTTATTTATTTATTTTATTTTTATTTATCTATTTATTTATTTTTGGATTGAAGGATTAAACTCAGGACCTTGTGCTTGCAAGGCAAGCGCGGCACCACTGAGCTAAAATCCCCGGCCCTGAGCGCTTTTTATTTTAAGACAGGGTCTCACCAAGTTGCCCAGGATGGACTTGAACTTACAATCCTCCCTTCTTCAGCCTCCTGAGTAGCTGGAATTACAAACATGTACCATCGCACTTGGCCTTCCTGTGATTTATTTAGCATTCTTGCACATGTTTGTCCTCTCCCTAAACACACTGTGAGCTGCCCTGTGTTGCTTTGATAATGAGCTTGCCCTCTGGGTCTCATATGGCTTTGATATTTCCCCCAGCACAGCGCTTGAGGAAACCACAGAACAGGAACTCAGTAGAAACTCACTGAACTGAACTGATTCAACAGCTCTCAGTATGAAATGCTTGAAGCATTTGCTGCCACTGGAGACTCAAACCAGGCCAGAATGTTAATCCGCTGATCCTAAACCAAACTAAAATTCAACAGGCACATCTTAACTCTGAGCTGTAAGATATGTGATAGTGTCTTCTCCTTTTCGGAGGGGCTAAGGGACTGGATATGCTGCCCTGGTGAGCCCTGAACACCTGGGATCAAGCAATCCTCCTCTCTCAGCCTCCAAAATAGCTGGTATTTCAGCAAGCACCACCATACCCAGCCATTTCTTATTTTTTTTAAATGTGGTGGGGATGAGAATATGGCTTAGTGTTAGAGCGCTTGCCTAGCATAGCATGCATGTAACCTTGGATTCAATTTCCACAACAGCAAAAAAACAAAAAACATGACCAAATATACACACCGAACTGCATAAGTATTGTTTTGTTGATACGTCACACAAACTACTACAGTCACCCTCAAAGCCTGTGATTCCTAAAGATCTTAAAAGCATTATGTCTATCTTAGGCAGGACATGGTGATGCACACCTGTAACCCTCAGGAAACTGAGGCAAGAGGATCACACTGAGTTCAAGACCAACCTATACTACATAGTGAGTTTAGGATCAGCCTAAACTTCATAACAAGACCCTGTCTCCAAAAAAAGTTTTATGGGGCTGGGGATTTAGCTCAGTGGTTCCACCGCCTGCCTCGAAAGCACAAGGTCCCGAGTTCAATCCCCGGTACCAAAAAGAGTTTTATGGCTCTCTTAAGGGCTAAATCAGCTTGGTGTGGTGAGGCATACCTGTAATCTAGTATTCTAGGAAGCTGAGGCATGAGAATCACAAATTTAAGCCCAGCTTAGGCAACTTATCGAGACCCTCAAAAAAAGGGGGGGGGGAGTGTGATGGTCTGAAGACTCCAAAGCATTTGTAATCACAGACACATGAACCTTTAATTCTCAGAAACCTGTGTCAACACAGGTGGACTAATAGAGGTTTTCCAGAGATAAATTCAGATAATTCACTGAAATGAATACAGGCTTTTGGATACAATGATCAGAGTGCTATCTGAGGCAAAAAAAAAAAACGGGAGGGGGCAGCATTTTCTTTTCACCAGAATCCCACCCTCAGACTTGACTTGACTCAGTGTCCTGTTTCTACCTCAGGCTCCTTGGAGTCCCCTGACCACACAGATGAGCAGACCCTTAGTACTCCCTCACTGCTCACCCAGGAGCTGGGAGCCCCACTGAGGGTGAGGATGCCCTCCCCTCAACTTGGCTTCTCTTCCCACTGCCCGATCCAGGCCTCTGGGTGGGGTGGAACATGGGACCTGTCTCTCCCTCTGTCTGGCCACCCCACTCACCTCCCGCTGGCCATTACCTTCTCCATCTGGCTGAGGGATGCTCCGGAACAGACAGTGTTGCTCCCGGATAAACTGTCCAGTCAGCTTGATGTCTACATCTACCTGGCCAACCCTGGAGAAGCAACAGTGAACATTCTGGGTGTGTTCCAGAGCACCCTCTGAACATCAATTCATCCAACTCAGTGAGGCAAGCATAATTATCTCCATTTCACAGAAAAGCAGACGAAGGCTCAGGAAGAAGAAATAACCTACCTAAGGTCACACAGCTGCCCAGTGGTGAAGGTGGGATTTAAGCCCATGTCCTTAGTCACATGATACAGCAAAGGGGAAAAGTGAGCCTGGGACTGGTGGGCATTCTCAGCCACACATCTGCTACCCAGCCTTAGGGCTGATCACCCTAAGAATTCTCTAACCATGATGATCACCCAGGACAGGTTCAAATGCCTATGGTAGGAGGGGAGAGGGCATCCTCACCCCCTGAACTCCAGGAGACACTGAGCCCCAGGGGTTCATTAGTATCAGCTGGAAAAGCCTCAGCCACAAAGTCTGCCACATGGGAATTATCCTTGACAATACAGGGCCAGGCAATATTCCTCTTTCCCCTCCTCCAAGAGGGTCCCACCACAGGACCACAAAGCAGTGGTATCTGGGGCTAAGAATGAGGTGGTCAAAGTTTCCCACCAACTCTTCTACACCAATAAATTAGGAGCCATCTCCGTATAAGTGCTGGGTCGCTCTGGTCCCAGGAAGCATCTTGCTCTCACCAAAGTAGGGGACAGAGGACAGCAAGCCACTGACCAGCATGACTCAGCAACTTTCCAAGACGCTGGGAGAGGGCTGGGGCTGTGTATCATTAGTAAAGTGCTTGCTTAGCATGTGCAAAGCCCTGGGTAAGGAAGAGAAGGAGAAGGAGGAGGGAAGGGAAGGTGAGAAGAGGAAAAGGATGAGGAAGAGGAGGAGGAAGAGGAGGAGGAGGAAGAGGAGCAGAAAGAGGGAGAGGAAGCAGCGGAAGCAGAAGCAGCAGCAGCAGCAGCAGCAGGGAAAGCAACAATCAGGGCTGTGGCAGCAGCTATCCAGAGATCTGGGATGCTGCAATGTACACAAGACAAAGAGTCACCAATGTCACCATCCCTCTTCAACCACACTCCTAAAAAAGAGACTGCCCCCTCCCAGGCCCCTGAGTACATGCTACCTGGTGATGCCATCTTTGATGTGGTAGAGCAGACATTCAGACATCAGGGGGTCTTCGTTCAGGTTCACCAGGTGGGGAGTCTAACAGTGGAAAGGTGAGTGGTCAGGGGAAAGCCCCAGAGAGCTGGCCAGGGTAGTCACAAAGAGGAAGAGAGCAAAGGAGTGTGAGTAGACATCCCTGCCCTAGCACTTGGGGAGCTTTCCTGCCCTGAAGAGCATCACTGATTTTTTCGTTTCTACCTCTCACAATCACCACCTTTTCCTCAAACAATAATGCCTACAAAAAACCACCACCACTCACCCCTCCCAAGTCAGCAATCCTTTCCAAGTCCCTGTCTCTTTGGAGACAGAGATTCCCAGCCAGAAGCTGTGGAATCTAGCTGCACTGTCCTCTTCTTCCCTTTATTCCCTCTGTCCCCCAAATCCATCATGCCCTCCCTCCAAACCTACCTTCCAACTCCTGGACAGTAAGTGAAGGAACTGAGTGAGGACACTGGTACCTCCCACCTTTCATTACACCTTGAATTTCTCATAAGCATGGATTACTTTATAATTTTTAAATTTTAAAAAAGTGTCACTTCAATTTAAAAACTGAACAAGCAAATCTGTTTCTCGAAGTAGACAATTGATTCTTCCTCGGTCTCTGCCAACCCAAACCTGGTCCTGCTTACCTCAGACCACTGCAGCAGCTGCCTGGTGCTGTGCCTGCCCAAGGCCTCCCGACCATCCCAAATACCTGCCTGATCATGATGCTGCTCTCTGCTGAAAGCCCAGCCCATTCCCCTACCCAACAGCATGTTTTCTGACTTCTGTTTTGTTTTTTATCAGTATGCTTGTGATACATAATAAACATTCATCATGCGAAATTGCTACATATACATATTGTATCTTGATCCTATTTACGTTCCTTTTCCCTTCCCTCCTTCCCACTTCCCTTCATTTCTAGATCTCCATCCATCTTTTCCCAGGCATGTAACTCTGGGAAGCACACAGCCTTGTTCCCTCCATCCCTCATACCACTGGCTGCCACACTGACAGAACTCCCCCTCCCTACAGTCGCTGCTTCAGCTCATACCTGTCCACCCCTCTGCATCATTCTGCCTCAGGCCTGCCTGACTTCCTGCCCTCTCTACAGGTTTCCAACTTTCTGCTTATACCACACTGTGGCCATGTCACTGTGTTTCCACAGGGCCTTCTCCAGCTGGCACCCCATGCCCACCTGACTTGAGACCTGTTTACCCTGCTCTACTTCATGTCATGGCTGAGCCCACCTGTCTAAGCCCTTTTCTGGGGCCCTCTCCCCAACACTGAGCTTCCCCAGTGGATTGCTGAGCTCTCACTCCAGAAGCAGGCCTTCCACAATCCTGGCCACTTTGTGAGCTGCTCACCCTGCCATGTTCCCATGCCTGGAACAGCCTTCCTGATCCCTGCCCCACTCCCACCTGTTCAAATCATTCACTTTATGTCCCTCCACGCCTATCTCAAATGCCACTTTTGTGAAGCTTTTCCAACCCTTCCAACCAAACACAAGATCCCCTGCCTCTGCTCTACAATGATTCACAATGGGTTTTTTATCTGACCTCCCTGAGGTGTAGGATGGGACACAGATGAGTCAAACCCTGACTCACTGTCCTGTCAGGAAGGAAATCAGAGCCAAGTTGGGGAGGTGAGACTTGGTGTGGACACACTGCTTGTTACAAGTGGGAAAAAAGGATGCCTCATAGAAGAGTTTTCTGGCCTTCTCCCAGCTCTTCCAGTTCATTCGTTTGTTCATTTATTCCCAGGTAGTTGAGCACTCCTGTATTCTGGGAGGGACTCACATGCAAAGAGGAACAAAGTGCAGAACTACAGGAGCTCAGGGTCACTGGAGGACTTCATGAGAAAGGCAACATGGGACCTGGTCTTTGGGGAGAAAGAGGGTGTGGACACACCAAAGGAAGAGGAGTTAGAAAGAACCTTGGAGTCAGAAAAGTCCGGAGTATAGAGGCAAAAGAGACAAGAATGGAGGCTCTGGATTTCTCTGAGACCCACTCTGCACACCAGGGGCCCATGGATGTGTCCACAGTCCACATGATGGGGATCTGTATCTGCCTTTCCCCAGACACCCCAGGATCACTGCGGCTACACTCTGCCTGAGGGATGTTCATGTCCCTCCTTACACCACAGTGTCAAGCCTTTTCTGGGACTGACAGACACTGATGAGCTCTGGAAGCAGAAAGCAATCTATCTCTGGGGAGACTGAACATGATTTGGGGCAGTGCTTCTCAGTTTCTGTTCAGCCCTGGAACTCTTTGTTAAAATGAAATCTAACTAGATACATAGGATGTTAAGCAGACAAGCAGAGAGCCAACCAGGCCCAGGATGGGGTAGGAAACCTAGAGTCTGGTCCTCTCCCCTGATTTCTGCCCCTGAGAAGGAAGCTCTCAGCCAGGTTTGAGAATCACTGATTTAAGAAAGAACTCCTTAGGCCTGGGAGTAGAGGGAGTCCCAGAAAAAAAGGGCTTTCTCTAAGGATCTTGGCTCTTTTCAAAACGAACTGCAGCTTTTTCCCTAGGAGCCAATCTTCCACTTGACCATTCTCAGGTTGGAGGCACCCCTGACCCCAAACCCATCTCCCCAGTAAACCTAACCCACCTCTCCCTTCTGAAACACATGAGGAAAGGGCACACGGTGTAGCTCAGTGGTAGTGAATTAGTCTAGAATGAATGAGGCCCTTGATTTGATTCCTAGCAACACGAGAGACAGAGACAGACAGAGACAGACAGAGATACAGAGACAGAGAGACAGAGAGACAGAGAGACAGAGAGAGAGAGAGGAAGGAAGGAAACATGTTCATCCCCACCACCTTCAGAAAAATACAAATGTGAACTATTCCAAGATGCCTTTTCACCAATCACACTGCTAAAGATCAAAAAGTCTGATTAACCCAGGATACTAAAAAAGGTAAGGGAAAATAGGCCCCCTTGTACATCATTCTTGGGACTATAAATTGGCATAGTTATAATCTTCAGAAAGTATTTCAGCAACATAAATCAAAATTTTAAATGGCTACCACTTGACTTCAAATCTCCACTTCTAGGAATGTTCTTATACGTCTTATACCTTATACCTACTTATAAGACTGTTATAAAACTGTTTATAGTGACAAAGAATGGGAAAACCCTAAATGCCCGCAGTAAGAAGCTGTCAAATGAATTATTCTGTATCTGTACCATGGAATATTCTGACATCTTGAAAAAAAGCAAAGCCAAGCATAATGGTGCATGCTGTAATCCCAACACTCAGAAGGCTGAAGCAGCAGGATCATCGTGAGTCTGAGATCCATCTGGACTATAAAGTGAGTTCAAAGCCAGCCTGAACTATACAGCAAGACCTTGTTTCAAAAAAAAGAATAAAATAAAAGTGACCTTTAAAAATAAGGTATGCAACCACTATTAAAGAGAAGCCGTGTGTGTATGTGTGTATAATTATATATATGACACATGCCTCCAAAAGAACTCATTATGAACTGATAATGGAGACTGCTACTGATAAGGAACCTGAGGGTAGAAATGAAGGAGACTTATTGAGTCCTATCTGAATGTCCTCTCTGGAGGTATACATTATCTTTACCAGGATAATTAAAAACCAGAACCCCTTCCTCTGGCATCTGGGTTTTAGGAAGTAGCATCCCTGAGCAGTGTCCAGCCTGAGAAGAAACTCCACCCCATCAGTTGCTCCATTCCTTTCTGCCTTTTCTCCATCCCTGCAATGGGGTATCAGTGCCCCAGGCACAGGCACCCAAAGATGGTTAGAAGCCATGCTACAAGCCATTTATAGACTCGCCCACCAAGAAGTAGCTGGATCCCTCTGAAGGACCCAACAGCCCTGGATACCCAGCCCTGGACCAGCCCTTCAGCCTGGCCTAACACCCTTAATTATCCACCTACAGCTCTTACTCCCTCGTTGCTACTGGGTCCAGGAAAGTCAAAGCTCTGTTCTTTTTTTTTTTTTTTGGTACCGGGGATCGAACTTGGGTCCTTGCACTTGCCGGGCAGGCATCGGAACCACTTAGAACAAGGTTTCAATGATCCCTGTTTGTTCTGTTTTCCAGATGGACCTGACCTTACAAAATAAAGCAAGCCCTCCTTCCAGCAATCTACCTCTTCTCAGCCACCCCCAAGGAACTGTCTGGCCCCAGGACAGTGTGCCTGACTTAAGGCCTGCTCCTTGTCTGCTTTGCACCATGGACCAGACAAGCTTGGCTTGTTCCCTTGTGGGACTGGAAGTTCCTGCTCTACTCAACTCGGCTTCCAGAACATCCCTTCATCAAGATGCACCAGCACAGCTGTGCTGGCTGTCTGGGGTGAGCAACCATTCTGACCAGTTAGCCTTGTGCCAGCTGGCTAAGTATTTTGAGTATCATTCCTGCCCTCAACTGAGCCTGACCACTCCCACCCTGCTTCTTTCTTTCTTCTCAGCAAAGATTTACCAAGAACCTACTACCTACAGCAGCAGACCTATGGCAGGCAACAGCCCATCCCACTCAATCCAACACGTACCCTGAGTTTGCTTAGCATCATGTTGTCCCTACTACTCTCTATCCCCAAATTCTGTCAATCTTTCAGGCTTCGTTTTTCAATCTAGCTTGTCCGAGAATCCAGCTGTTAAATCTCCAGGCCATGTTAATGCTTCCATCTAAACCTGCTTCCATCCTGTTGCACACTTACAATCACTACTGCACAGAATAGTGCTCACCCCTCCTCTACCACCCTTACAGACATGCCTTCCCAAAGTTAGCCTTTGTAAAAAATGTATTTTTAGTTAATTTTCTGAGTGGAAGGAAATGCATGGGGTACTGAACTCAAATGATACAAAAGCATATATAGCATCTAAGTTCCTACCTGAATCAAACTCTAGTTTCCCACTTCCTTACCTTTCTCTTCGAGCAAAGTACTACTGAGCAATTTCGCACGAATCCCAAGATAAACTGTGCGCATGATCTCATAGACACACACATAAAGACCTAGACTCTAAGCAGTTCCCACAACCTCTTAAGGGAAGACAGACTATCATCCTGCAGCCAGGTCCTTGGCCACAAACTCTGGCTGGCTGACAGGTGGAAGGAAGAGGTAGAAAGCAGAACACAAACGAGGTGGCAGAGGAGGGGACAGAGATGACAGAGGGACAAGTTAGAGACCTCAGATGGAAAGATCAAGGTTAAAACTCCCACCCTGGCACCCTTAACTCTCTTTTCTAGGCCCCCAGAGAGCTTTTGCACCCCATCTCACACACACCTTCTTTGGAGAGAAGACGCCCACAGTTCCCCCGTCCTCCCGGACAGCCACCCCCATCTCAGCCAGCAATGCTTCTCTGTGGGAAAAAGAAAGGCAAATTTCAGTCCTGTCATCATTCCCATAACCTTCCCTAAAAGGCCTGACCTCTTCCCCAACCTCCCAGAGCTCTGTGGTAGGCCCAGCCCCTCACACCTCTCCATCCTCAGGGCTTCTGTCTTTCGCAGCTTTTCCTCCCATGTCTCGTTCAGTTCAGCTATAATCTTCTCTGTCTCCTGGGGGCACAAATACAGGCAGCGATCAAGACAGTCCGTGACCTAAACCTACTCCTGAGGTCCCTTCTTCTTGCTCATCCCTAGTTTTAGAGAAGTAAATTCCCAGAAGCTCCCAAACCCCCACCCCTTGCTAGCTCCAGCTCTGCACCTGCAGCCTCTCCATGGCCTCCTCAGGCCCAATCTGAGGCTCAGTGTTGGAGAATGATGGCTCCAGCTCCCCATTATGTGCAGGGGGGGATGAGGGTGAAGCTGGGGCAGGGGGAGATGATACAGCTGGTACAGTACCTCCAGGACTCCCCTCTTCCACCTTTAGGCCTGGGAGGGAAAAAGGTAAAAGAGTATGAGATCTGTAGTACTAGCTACCTGGGAGGTTGAGGCAGGAGGATCCCTTGAACCCATGAATTCAAGACTAGCCTGGGCAACATAAAGAAATTCCATCTCAAAAAAGCAAAAAGGATTTAAAAAAAAAAAAAAAAAAAGATGGAACCAAACACTAGAGAAAGCCAAGAGCTTTTTTTTTTTTGGTACCAGGGATCGAACTGGGGACCTTGCACTTTCGAGGCAGGTGCTGGAACCACTAAGCTAAATCCCCGGCCCAGAAAGCCAAGAGCTTTTCAGATAATTTTGGAAGACTTTTGGGCAATCTCTTAGCAGACAGGGAGCCCTCGCAGACAACCCTGACAAATAAGCATCCTGTCTTTGCCTATACATCATGGATGGAGAACTTGTTACTGAAGGAGATACCCAGTTCCTTCTGCCAACAGTTTCTACTGTCAAAAGTTCATAGCAATGTTGAGCTGAAATCTGCCCTGTGTCTTGTGTACCTATTGCTTCTAGTTCTGTTTCTTCTTCCAGGCACTCTTGCAAATGTTGGAAGGCGAACATCACATCCTCTTTATCTTTCTCTTCCCAAAAACACCTTTGTTCCCCTCACTGTGTCCCTCAGCACCCTATCCTCCATGAGACTGATCTCAAGATTGAACAGAGAATTCATACCTGACCCAGTTAACATGGATCATACATTCTCTAACAGGAGACTGCTTTCTTATCCATGAGGATGAGCACTGCATCTTAGAAACCATTCTGTTGTTGACCATTAAGCTTAGGTTCAACTAAAACTCTGATATTTTATAAGAACTGCTGCAAGGCAGGTGACCCAGCAGCCTCTTTACCATCCACTGTGTGAACCATAAATATACAACTTGCCACTTCTTCCTGTACCTGTCATTTTAGTAGTTCCAGAAGCCTATCAAAGTCCCTCTGAATCCTCACTCTCCCCACAGTCCCTCGCTCTGTAACATCTGAAGACACAAGTGCCCTCTCCACATGTGTTCAAGTCACTGAACAAGTGAAGGCCTTCATGACAGATGGTCCCTCTCAGACCCCAAGACTGGTCAAAAGCAAGTGAGGAAGGGCAGGGTGGGCCAAGAGGTATCCCTGGGCTGTTCCTACCTCCCAGAGCAGAGGCTGAAAGCCCCTGAGCCATAAGCAGTTCCCGCAGCCGTGCCACCTCCTCCTGCAGCTCTCGGATCAGCCGGGCGTTAGGGTCCTCATTGATGACAGCATTGCATCGAATCTGCTTGGTGCGGTCAGCATACCTGGGAAAGGAAGGGGATCAGGACTGGTAAGGGCAGGCACAAAAGCCCTTGCTGTGCTGCCTATTTCCTGCTCTCCTTCCCAGGACTCAAGACAGGCAGGGTTTACCCTGCCTCACCAAAGGATTCTTCAGTAAACAGCCTCTGAGCTCCTGGCACTTTGTATATGCTGCCCCATCCCTGCCAGAACTAGAAGCCCCACCTGAGGGTGCTGAGAGTCTCCTCATAATTGATGTCAGCAGGGCTCAGGGCTGCAATCATTGCTGTGCGTGAGTTCCCACCTACCAACAAAGAGGATGGAAAAGCTTTAGCTTAGCGAAATCCTAAGAAAAATGAGACTGGGTCATGGGGGAGGGGGGTGCTCAGTGTCCAGACAGGACTCTGTGGGGTCACTGGGGCAAAGTGAAACTAAAAGTTGAGAAGCGTTAATGGGGAGAGGCAGGGGCAGAGAGACAGCAGATAACTACAGGACAATCACAGGTATGTGGGCGGGGGATGGAGTCAGTAATCATGTGAGGTTGGGGAGGCACCTGGCCTTGGCAGAAAGGGTATGGCCTTGATCTCATCATAGAAAGTCTCAAAAAAGTCAGGCGTGGTGGTGCACACCTATAATCCCAGCACATGAGAGCTGAGGCAGGAGGATCACCACAAATTCAAGACCAGCCTGGGCTACACAGTGAGTTCAAGGCCAGCCTGAACAGCATAGTGAGACCCTATCTCAAAAAACCAAAAAATACAACAAAAGACACTCTTCAAAAAGATACTCCCTAAGTTAGGGGAGAACATGGGACAACATTGACTGGATTTTGGATTCTGGGAGTGGCAATGATTCTGATAAGTGTTAGATTCATCAAAGGGGGCCAGTGGCAGGGTCAACAGAGACAGGAGGAATCCCTCACCTAAATTCTCCTTGAGCAGCCAGGTGAGCACAGAGTCCCTGTAAGGGATAAAATCTGACTTCCGCTTCTTTGATTGCTGGGAGATGGAAAGAGAAGGTGGTCAGAGTGAGCCCACTCCCTGTGCCCCCTTTCCTGAGCTCCTTCTCCTCCCAACTTGCAGGGCTCACCATATCTGCAAGGGCTGAGATCACCTTCCCGAGAGTAGTCAAGGACTTATTGATGTTGGCACCCTCCTGGAAAAGGATAAAATATAGGGATGAGACCCTCTCCCCATCCTCACTCAGATCCATTTCACCCTCCCCTCATCACCAGGGAGAGTCTTAGGTTACGATCAGTGACTTCCCCACCCAGCCCCCAATACTGTCCTTGTGTGTCCCTCCAAGGTGCCCTCACCTTCAAACGCATGCCCCGGGCCCCTGAGGAGTCAGCCCGCTCGCTCCCAGCAAGGTCCACCAAACTGATCTTACTGACCTGGGGTCAGAGGAAAGAGGCAGGAGGTGACTGGGGTGGGGGAGATGAGGAAGATAAATCAGGGGAGCAGCTGGCAGGAATCTGGGTAGTCAGCAAGGGCTGGAGAAAGCCAGGAAGGGGAAAAGGAAAAGGATAGGAGGAAAAGGGATATGGAAAGAAAACAGTGAGGAGCTGGTTACTCATTCATTTGTTCATTTAGTCACTTACAAATACCTAAAGACCCACTGTGTACCAGGGCTGGAATCCCAGCCCTGCCCTGAAAAGTCTGGTAAGGACAAACAAGCAAACGAGAGGTTGTAGTGTGCTGATCTGACTCTGCTGGGGAGACAGACAGAGCTGACACAAACTAGCAGAGGCGGATCCCCACCTTCTCTGAGTCCAGCCCAGTGAGCTGGTCGTGACAGCGCTGTGTGAAGACAATGGTGAAGACAGCATGGGAACGGCTGCTGGTCTCATTCATGTTGGTGGCGGCTACCGTCCTAAGGAGAGAGAGCAGTCACAGGGTCCTGCCCTCAACTTCCCAACTCTAGGTCCCTTAATCTGCTTGATCAGCCTGCCTTACCTCGCCTTATTTCCACAGTCCATGAGGTCAGCAATGTCTGCATAGGAGGTCACAGCCAATTTAGACAAATCCTGTACGTAGGGGCCCAGGATAGGGTGCTCCCGGACCCGCAGAGATCCCCGACTCTTGGGGTTCAAAAGGTCTCGTACCCGCTCACAATAGATTTCCATATAGCTCACCTGGGAAAAGCAAATGAGAAGTAAGGATGCTAGTAATGACACTGTCAGTACAACTTAAACTAAATTTTACCACACAGGACACAGGTAACTGCAGTACACACACACACACACACACACACACACACACGCAACACCAGGTAAAGTGCTAAAATTCTCCATATGCTAGTTCGATCCTCCCATCAAACCCTGGGAAATGAGTCTAACCATTAGCACTTCAGATGAATATACTTGGGAGCTAAAGGCTGAAATCATTGCCCAATGTGACAGTAATGAGCAGAGCCAGCATTAGTTCCCGGGCTGACTCCAACACTAACACTGCCCTCAGTCTTAATCACGCTGATTTCCTGCCTCCCTGCCCCGCACTGAGACTGAGGCTTACCTCTACAGAATAGGAGAGCTGAGCACTCTGGTTCTCACTGACACGAGAAAACAGGTCCTCACAGAGCTGGAGAGAGACACAGAGAAGCACAGAGAAGCTCCATTCATAGCACACTTGCAGTGCCCAGCCCCAGCCAGGCCCTGTCCCAGGTGACTCAATTTAACCCTTGCCACAGGCCTGAGGGAGGGGTCATTACCACTTTACAGGTAGGAAAGCAATCTCTGAGAGGTTCACACTTGCCCAGGGTCACAAGCTGGTATTCAGCAGGGCAGGTGTCCCGCTCCCAAGCCTATATGTAAGGTTGCTATGCTACACAGCTAGGTAAAATCAAGGTCAGCTCTCAGTTATCCACAACTAGATCTTTCTACAGTCCACATCTTGTTTATGGTATGGAAGCCTGTTAGCAAATTATGAAACAAAGTAAACCAGCAGAAAGTGGTAAAACCAGAGTCTCGACCAAGGCTCTCTGATGCTAAAGGCTTAGCTCTTCTCATTCAGCTTCCCTGTCTCTTCCAGGGACAAAGCCTTCTCCCCTGAAAGGAAGCTGGGCATCCAGACTGCAGCCTACCCCATGACATTCCTTATAACTAAGGGTCTCAGAACCAGATCTCTGCTCCATAAATCCTAGACCCCCATCCTTTCTCCCCTGGGGGGCAGCTGAAGATGCTCCTGCCCTGGCTGCCCAGTCAGGTCCCAAGTATGTACCTGAGGCACAATCCCCTGCTGCCCTGGCTCCTGCCGTCCCATCATGGTATAGGACTTCCCAGCTCCAGTCTGCCCATAGGCAAAGATGCACACATTGTAGCCTTCAAAGGCATGGAGCAGCATCTCTTCCCCAATGTCTCGATACACCTGCTGTTGAGATGCAAACTGGGGGTCCTCAGCCTAGGTGAAAGAGGGGCAGAAAAAGACAACAGGAGCACTGGATGACTTTGTTCTTCATGTCTATGGTCCCCACAACCTTGCCTCCTTCCCACTATCATCAATCTAATCAACCGTGAGCATTATATCCAGCCCTTGCTTGTCCTAATTATCCTGAGTGAGTCTACCTTCCCCACTCCTGGTCCCAATCACAACCTAAGAGTCCTACCCATCCCACTTCAGGGGTCCCTCTCCTTCTCCAGTCCCAACTAATCCCAGGAAGGTCTTATTTCCCAGCATTGCCTCCTCCCCAGGACTTAAATCCCCTTCCCCCTATGGCTTAGTTTCCCCAGGCCAACAACCTCACCGAAGTGTGTGACCAGTAGGAATAGTCGAAAGTGAAGCTTTTGGGGACATCCTTGATCTGTTTGGGATTGAAGATGGCTGAGGAGGCAAGAGAGGGCAAAAGAAAACCCAGGTCAGATACTCCCAGTCTCTGCCCACTCTCCCACAAGCCTCTGGACTCCAGACATCCCACTCCCCACCTCTGTCCTAGTTCATCTCTCCCCTTTAATACTCCCCACCCCCTCCTGCCACCAAAGCTAAATTTGGCTTCCTAGGGCCCGCCCCTTATGAGCTGCCTCCCTGGATTGGGCAATCCAAGGGCTCCCAGCCAACATTCCCCCTCCCAGGGACAGGAACATGGAAAGGCCAGCCTGCCCCAGCCCCTGCCCTTAAACCTAGCACCTGCTCTGTGCCCAGCACAGTCCTCTGATTTGGCCCAACAGGACTGCCTACATGGTGGGGCTGCCCTTCCCCTCTTGTGTCCAGCCAGGCCCCTGGGACTCACTCACAGGTGGTGTTGCCCTGCATGCTGACCACACACTTGGCATCCTGACTGGTCTCACGGGCATTGAAGGGCCGAACCCTCACTGCCACTTTCACTGAGGCACCAGCCATAGCTCCAGACGCTGCTGCCCTCCTCAGCTGGAGGACAGAGAAAGAGGGGTGATTAGACCCACCGGGAAGACTCAAACATTGCTTTCCAGCTTCTCTCTGAAACCATCTCTCTACTCCCCTTCCCCAGCTAACCAGCCCCTCAAGAACCCAGTTCCTGTTCCTCTGCCTTCCTCCTCAGTGTCACTAGTTTAAGGGGCTCCAAAAATATTCCTGCCTCTCTCCCCAGCCATACCCCAGCTCGAAGGGACCTGGGCCATCACCCCAGAGTTACCTGGTGTCCTGGCCCCAGACCAGGGGAGCTGTATCAGTTCTGGCTGCCACCGGCCCTCGTAGGGGGAGCCCCATCCTATACTTGGGGCCTGGCCACACCAGCAGGGGCTGTAGGGGAAACCCTGGTTGTGGGGGAAGAGTGGTTAGGAGGCACCTGTGGCTCCAGAGTCTGTCTGGGATTTCTGCATTTAGAGGGGAAGGGATGGGGGAATGTTAGGAAAGGTGGGAATAGCTGCCTCTCTGGAGTGGCTGAATGCAATGTGAATCCAAGGGCAGGAATGGTGATATTTTTATTCCTCGTCACTCACAAGTGTACCGAACGTTCAGACAGAGGAGAGAGAGAGAGAATGAAGCTGGACAGAGAGCAATTCTGAGAGAGACAAATGGGCAGAGACACTGAGGGTGGCAGGCAAGAGGAGAGGAGGGACAGAAAGTCACAGACACCAAGAAAATGAAAGAAATAAGCCAAAAGACAAGACGGAGGTCGTGCTATGAAGATAGAATAAGAAAAGGAAAGGGGAGACAGAGAATATCAAACCTGAAGATTTTTGAATAGGCAGCGAGAGGGCTCTGGGGCCAAAGCACAAATTGGGAGCCCAGAAAATGAGAGGAGAGAAAATCCCAAACATAAAACCTAACCTATAATTCCCTTACAGGACCAACAAGGGAGCAGTAGAAACCAGTTCCCACCTGGGTTACTGGTGGGAAAAGTTCAAGAGCTGCAGGCACACAAGACCTGCCTTTTGGGTCTCAAGCCCCTTTCCCAGCCCTCAGCACTTCCTCCTCAGGATCCAGGACAATGGGCAGGGGAGGGTGGGGTCATCCTGTATCCACCGTACCAACCCCCAGGGCTCCACTGCTGGGGTAATACCTTGGGAGGGATAGGGGGAGAGGTTTGACAGCTCCTTCAAAGAGGAGAGAAAGGAAAGGAAGCAGACTGGTCCCAGCCCCAGCCTAGGGCCAACGCTATGGTGTCCACAGCCCTGGGGAAGGTGCCAGGCTAGAACCCAAGAATGTAGGTGATCGAGTGCCCACACCCTGGGAGGAGAGACTGAGTAGCCCACACCCACGAACAGCAAGGTAAAGACTGTAGAAAGGGTTCAGGGATGCCAGTCCACCCACCTGTGGCCCCAAAGGACCTCAAACCTCTGTTGTGCTGGGCCTCACCTCACCAGCCATCCTGGGTAGAGCATAGACTGGTCCGTCCCAGAACAGGAAGGGAGTAGCCAAAATCAGAAGCTAGCTCAGGAAGAATGGCCCTGACCCCCAGACCCTGACCAGAGGAGGGAAAGACACTGGTGGGACACACAATCGTGACTCTAGTGCAATTAAGAGAACAGGGAAAAGGGTGGCAGGCTAAAAGATAGCGGGGTAAGGGAATAGGGGCTAGATCAAGGGTCTGCCAATGCACCTTTAAGGGTGCAGTGGGGTACAAGGAGGACCCCGTGGCTGGGATTGGGCCGACCTACCCAACAAGGGGTCTCAGGCCACCTGCACCTCACCCACCCAGCAATTCTCCAACAGGCCCCTGCCCGGCCTCTCTGGACAGCAGTGCGGACCCTGGCCCCTAGTCCAGCCAAACGACCGCTGCCCTGGGCCTGGCACCTCTCTGCGCCTCCGCGGGACAAACAGCACATGATCCCAGCTCTCTCGCCTAGCCGATGCAAACGGGACCCCGACTCCCCGCCTCCTAGCCCAGCACATTCCTCTGCGGGCGTCCCCTCCCTTCCCCCTCCGAAGCTCTCACCTCGTCGCGGCGGGGCTCCCGGAGTGGCTCCGCGAAGTGCAAAGGGACAAACTTTTCGGGAAGCGTGAGACTGGAGTGGCGATCTAGGGTCGGTTCGGGGCTGCCCCCGCCCCTCGCCGGGTCCCCGGGCGACGGGCGGCTCACTCGCGGCCCGGGGGCGGCTGCAGTAGCGGCGCCAGCGGCCGGCGCCCGCCCGGGCAGCGCGAGCTGGGACGGGAGCGAGGGGCGGGGGACGAGCGGGCGCGCGCGCCCGGGCCGAAGAGCGGGAGCGCGCTGCCCAAAGAAGAGACCTGGAGCCACCCGGGCTACTCTTGTTAAAGGGGCAATGCTTCTTGACTGTAGGGCCCACAGTGGGGAGGCACCTGGGAACCCGTCTATAGACACAAGAGCGAGTAGCCGCCGCGACTTGGGAATGCAACCACAGCCTGAGAAGCCAGGGTGGGGACGGACACTGGAAGGGGACCCACGCCTCGGACCCGCGCACGTCGCCGCCATCGGAGGCGTGCTCGAGAGGCGGAGCCTCCGTCGGCCCCGCCCAGGAGGCGGCCCCGCCCCCAGGAGCGCGAACGCCGGCCGGCTCCTCTAGCTGCACGGGCCGTTCCAGTCGCCTCCTCCCCGCCGGCCCACCAGTGGTTTTAGAGTTCGAAGCGCAGCTGCCTCAGGTGCTGGAGCCAAGGGCAGCCACCGGCGGCATAGCCACTCGGGTGCTGTGTCCCCGCCTGGCCCTCAAGTTCCTCAGTCCCAGATATCCCAGCCGCCGCTTCAGGCCCAGACGACCCACCCCACCCCCACCCCAGCCTGGCCCTTCAGAACCCAGACTGCACCTCGGGTGGGCCTGAGCCCACCAGCTCAGGGCCCAAGGGACTCCCTAGGTCCCAGTTGTGCCCCTAGGCCTGGCTGCTCCCCAGTCCACCTGCCAAGGGTCTCCATAGCCCTTCAGGCCCTAGCCACATCCTCAGGCCTGGCCCTTCCCTCCACCAGCTGGGGGCTCCTTGCCGTTCCTCAGGCCCAGCCTGACCTCTCAGGTCCTCATGGACCATCTCTCAGGTTTTAGTTGCCCTCCAAGGTCTTGGCTACCCCCGGATTAACTGTTGAGGATCCTGTCTGGCTCCCTTCTGTGCTACCCTGCCCCTAGATCTAGGCCACCCTCAGGCTTAACTATCTGAGGTCTGAATTCCCTGCAGCTCCCAAATGCTCCTAATTCTGGGTCCCTACTGGCCCAGGACTTTTCTTTAGATCCCACTTACCTTTATGCCCCACATATCTCCCATCGGCCACTTCAGCCCTAAATATTCCTCTCTCCATTTCTCTTTTCCTTATGTAACTTTTCTCAGCCCATACCTAGTTACCCTTCGATATATATTTGTTCACTTTTAACAGTTTTGAATTCACATTCTTTTATCCTTTGTGCAGCCTACATGAACTTTCCTAACTTTTCTAGTATTCTTTTTGTTTTCTGGTTTTTTGGTTTCAGCAGTTGGGGATTAAACGAGGGCCTCTCATGCTAGGCAAGTGCTGTATCACTAAGGCACACCCCCAGCTTTTAACTAGTATTCTTTTTTTTTAACTAGTATTCTTACCTACCTTTTCTACCCACCCTAACTAGCTCTCAAGTTATCTTTGGCTGCCCCTTATACTGAGCTCTCTGCTTTTTTTTTTTAAGGGTCTGTGTAGTTCAGGCTGGCCTCAAACTCAGTCCTCCTGCCGCAGCCTCCTGCATGCACCGCCACATCTGGCTCTGCTCACCATATTGTAGACATTCTTTTTTTTTTTTTTTGGTACTGGGGATCGAACTTGGGTCCTTGCACTTGCTCAGCAGGTGGCAAAACCACTGAGCTAAATCCCCAGCCATACTGTAGACATTCTTGGCCACCTTCTCTTTCCCTATCACTAACTGACGACTCCATCCACTTTATTCTCACTAACCACTTATTCTTGATTCATTTACCAACTCTCAATTTTTTTTTGGTATGGTTAAAAGAAAATATTAACAAAAGCCAGTTTAATTCTTGTAAGTTCATTTTTATATTGAATAGGATAAGATGCTTAATAGCTGTAATTCAACACTTTATTCCACTTTAGTCCTTTTCGATGAACTTGCTATAAACTTGTTTATATTTTAATAGAAGCCATGAATCAAGTATTTAGATAGATGTAGCTAACTACACTGGAAAATGAAAAGTTATAAATGTTTACCAACTCTCAATTCTGTCACCTCTAACTATCCCAGTTCTGGGCCAATTATCACCAAATGCCTCTGCCCTGCCCAGTCTCCACCTATCATTCTTTTTCATTTCACCATCCCATATTTAAGTCCCTTAATTGAAATCTGTAAATTTTATTTACTATATATATTTATCCCCAGAAAATTGGCTTTCTCCATTACCTCTTACTACACTCGCCTCTCCAGTGGTTACCATCTTGGCCATCTTCAACCTTTGTGTTAGGTTAATAGTCCAATACTAACTGGGTGGTGGCATAGTCCTGTAATCTATCCTAGCACTTGGGAGGCTAAGGCAGGAGGACCACTTTGAGTTCAAGACTAGCCCGAACTATATAATGAGACTATTTCTCACAACAAAGAAATAGTCCAACGCTAAAAATACTTTTTTTTTTTTTTTAGTATGGGGGATCAAACCCATGACTTTGCACATTCTAGCCAGGTGCTCTACCACTGAGCTATACCCTCAGGCTTAGGATACCTTTTAAACTCTCTTTTTTCAGGATCTACACATACTTTTTCCAATGTCTAGTCTGTTCTGGTCTCATCCCTACAGCCATTACATGAGTGAATGATTTTCTATTATCCCCCCAGCACGAAGGAGAAGTCTCAGTCCAGGTACCCAGCCCAGTCTAGTCATGCAGGTACAGGAAGATGAAGCCAACCTCCTACCCTTTGCCAAGTGAGTCCTTCCTAGTGGGTGGAGAGGATGGCGAAGGGATGGAGGGAAGATTGCATGCTTATACCCAGTGTTAGGCACTGGAGATTTAACAGTTAGATGAGGGTTTGCTCTTATAGAGCTTATATTCAGAGAGGCAACAGAATGTATAAACAAATATAATTTCAACTAATGATGAGTACCATGAAGTATAATATAAGGGAAAATAGTGAGTTTAGGGAGATACAAAGTTAAATAGAGTGATTGTGGAAGATTATTCTGGAAGGCAAATTTGAGTTGAAATGTGAAAAGTAAGAAGGAGCTAGTCTAATGGAGGAAATAAGTTTAGTATGTTCTAGAACAGGAAGCAGGCCAACGTAACTGAAAGTCAGTAGTCAAGAGGAAAATTGAGAGTAAAGTCAGAGAGTTACACAGAGGCCAGATCATATAGGACCTTTATAGGCCATAGAGAAGAGTTTGGATTTTATCCTATTTTTATATGTATTGTTGGTTTTCTTTTTGGACAGGGTCCTTCTATGTAGTTCAGATTGGCCTTGAGCCCAGGATGGCCTCAAAGTCAGTGATCCTCCTGTCTCAGCCTCCTGAGTGCCAGGCTTACAAGCGTACACCACCACACACAGCCTATATTATTGACTTTAATTTTAGACATCATATCACAGTGACAACCTAGTACGATGAAATCCACCTGCTTTTAGATGAATATATTCAGACTTCTAACATCCAATTATTTTCATTTCTACCATGTCAACTCCACACTACATTTTCATTTCTATCCAAAATAGACCAGATTTGGGCCAGGGATTTAGCTCAGTGGTTCTGCCGCCTGCCTCGCAAGCACAAGGTCCTGAGTTCGATCCCTGGTACCAAAAAAAAGTCCTTGCAAAATAGACCAGATTTCCAACTGTTGGGGGCTTGCAGATCAAACTTCTTATGTGGTAAGAATTACTGTCTAGATCATGACCACAAGAAACCAAATTTATATTTTCTGTACTAAATAGGAACAAGAAGTTGTTCAGTATATAACAATATATGGTGGTGTTCAAGAGCAATTCAAACAGTAGCTAAATAGGGGAGTTTGGATTTTATTCTAAAGACAGTGGAAGTAAAAAAAAGAGTGGCATAAGTAGACTTTTTTCTTCAAGTTTTTTATGATGGAAAATTTCCAACAAATACAGAAGTAGAGAAAATAGTATCAAAAACTGGATGTGGGCCAGGCGTGGTGGCACATGCCTGTAATCCCAGCACTCTGGAGGCTGATGAGGGAGGATTGCCACAACTTTGAGACCAGCCTGGGCTACATAGTAAGACTCTGTCTCAAACCAAACCAACCAACCAACTAGATATGTCCATTTTGGTCATTTCAATAATTATTATATGGAGAGCCGGGGATTTAGCTCAGTGGTTTCGCTGCCTGCTGCGCAAGCGCAAGGACCCGAGTTTGGTCTCTGGTACCAAAAAATAATAATAATTTTTATTATATGGATAATCTTTTCATGTCTACACTCAACAAGTCCCCTACTTCCCAAATTATTTTGAAGTACACCTCAAACCTTGTATTATTTCACATGATCACATTTTTTAAAAGATTACTGTCACTGCTCTATGAAGAATAGATTGTACAGAGATGAAAATGGGACCGGGAAGAGGAGGACAGTCCATTGCAATAGTCCAGGAAGGAGAAGATGATCTAGAATAAGGTGATGGGAATAGAAATGGTGAGTGAGAAGTGCTCAAACTCAGATATATTACAGATGTAGAATTTATAGGATCTGTGATGAATTGGATTTGGGAAGCAATGAAAAGTGAGGCAAACCAGGCTTTTGGGGCTAGCAGCTGGGTATTTGCAGTGCCTTTCAGTAAGATGGGGAAGGCTGACGGAAGAGGTGTTGAGTGGTTCCCAGGGAAGAACCAGGACAGACTGGAAAAATGGATTTGGGAGTCATCAGTATGTCATTATAGCTTCTATCTAGATGTCCCCCTAAAGCCTCATGAGGTCATAGGTGGAGTTTTTCAGAAGTGGCTGGATCTAAAGTGTGTGATACTGGGATTAAGGATGTGATGCTGAGATTATGCTAGGATTAAGGGTGCCCCACCCTGAGTGTGACTGCTACCTGCCTTAAGGTCAAGTAACCTGGACAGAATATAAGGGACAGAAGGAGGGCTGCTATGGTTGCTGCTTGTTGCCTGCTGTTTGCTACTTTGCTGCCTTCATGCCTTCTGGCTGCCATGAACTGTTTCTCTTCTGTGATGCCCCCTGTCATGCCACCCTGCCTTGAAGCCAGCTGAGTAAGGAACTGAAACCTCTACAGACTATGAGCCAAAATAAACCTTTCCTCCTTCAACTTTGGGTGTCAGGGTTTTTTGGGGGGTTGTTTTGTGTTTTGTTTTTTGCAGTACCAAGAATCGAACTCAGGACCTTAGGCTTGCCAGGGAGCAGGCATGGCGCCACTGAGCTACATCCCTGGCCCTGTTTTGGTTTTTTGGTTTTTTTGGTACCGGGGATCGAACTCAGGTCCTTGCGCTTTCGCAGCAGGCGGCGAAGCCACTGAGCTAAATCTCCGGCCCCCTGTTTTGTTTTTGAGACAGGGTCTCGCCATGCAGTTCAGGCTGGGCTTGAACTCACTATGTAGCCCAGGCAGGCCTGGAACTCACCATGATCCTCCTGCCTCAGCTTTCCGAATGCTGTGGTGTCAGGTATTTTGTTTGTCTCAGCAGTGAGAAAAGTAGCTAAGCAGTATTAAAGTCATGGTACTGAGTCAGATTACCTAAAGAGAGATGGAGATGGAGAGCATAAGGGACTCCTGGCTTAAATCCCAGGACACTCCACTTCTTAGAGATCAGGAAGGCAGTCATTCAATCTGGGAGCACTGGAAGTGGTAAGCACTGTTCTCAAGCTCTGTACATGTCTCCTTATCTATAAAGATATTAGCCCTTGAGATAGAAGAGACACAGTAGGGCTAAACAGATTCTCCTGGTTCTTTGCATTGACCTAAAGGAACCCTCAAATTGCCTGAATAGCCAGGGCCTTCCCCTTTAACAATCCTGCTTGTTAAATATTATGCTCACTGGCTATGACGTATAGAAGTTTGAGATTGGTGGTACATGCTTATAATTCCAGCACTGGGGAAACTGAGGCAGAAGGATCATGGTGAGTTCGAGGCCAGTCTGGGCTACCTAGTCAGTTCAAGGACAGCCTGAACTACAGAGTGGGAGAGACTCTCTCTCAAAAATAAAATAAAATAGTGTCTGAACCTAGAAGTTTGAGATTGAGATCTCAGACTCCAACAATAGCCCATCTCCACCTTGAGGCCAACCTCCACTCAAATCAGAGACCTCACCATCTTTCTTAGCTAAGGTTGACAGAGAGGTCATGTCTTGAGGGAACTTGAGCAGCTGGATGGTCTGATAGAAGGATGGGCCCCTGAATCCCAGAGGTGAGTAGATGCTGTATTGGAAGAGCCAGACTCAAGCCTATCTTGTCCTCACCTTAGGTGTTCCAGAGTGGTCCTTCGATCTCCACCTGCCAGCCTGCCTTCCCAGGGCCTCAGACTGACACCCAACCGTTACGGAGATATATTCTGGGAGAACCTTACCCAAAGACCCAGGTGAGTAGAGAAAAAGAAAATGGAGACTAACTGGAATAAGGAAGATGAGGGTATGCAGTTTTTACCTACCATATGTCTTTATGGGAATAAGCCCTAGTCTGGGGATAATTACCCACTTGCTGATTGACACCATAGCTTCTAATGCCAGACATGTTGTTGGGAGAGGTCATCGAGAAACAGTATGGATGGGTTATCCCCTCTGACTCTGGCCCCTTTTTTGTGCTTCACAGCCGTGTCTGGATGGAAGAACAATACATCCCATCCATGCTGGTATGACATACTACACCTTACAAAACTTTTGTACTAAAATTGCACCTCCTGCTTTCTTGTCCCCAGCTGTCCTTTTTACCCCTTCTTTCTGGTGTTTCCCAACCAGTGCACTGACCAGGCCTCCTTTCTGTGAATCAGGCATTATGTTTTCCATTTCACATCTGGGCTTCCCAAGACTCCTAAATCCCAAGTTCAATCCAAGCTTCCCTGAGAGAACTTCTAGCTCCTTTTCCTCATTTTCTGGCACAGAGAGCCACCGGTTGCTCCCAGCTTGGCTCATGCCCTCCTCCTGAAGGGCTCCCACCCCCTGAGATGCTTTGCAGAAGAAGGAGGAGGCCCCGATTGGACAGAATGCAGCAAGGACCTGGGGGCATCCCAGCCCGGGTGAGAGCTGTTGCTTATCACCTGGAGGACTTGAGGAGGCGCCAGAGAACCATCAATGAGTAAGGAGGGGGGACATATGGGCTTTGGGGGCCCAGGAGGGTTAGGAGAGGATGGCTTGAGCTAAGCCAAGAATTGACAATTTTGAGAGAATTGGAGGTTATTTGGAAAGGACCAATGGGCTTGGGAGAAATGAAACACAATTTCTATAAAAAATGAGCCATATGACCAAGAAGGAGTTGAAATTGGATCACTAAAAACAGGAAAGTACACCATAGAACTAGGAGAACTAGGGGTCACCTCTGGGTCCCTGGACTGAAAATACTTTAGTCTTTGGGGAACAGAAAATTGGGACTGGTAAGTTGAAGGTCACATGGTACCATCCTAGGGACCCAGCAAGAAATACTTCAAAACAGATAGATGAGTAACACAGAAAGAATCAGGAAGCCTGGGCCTCCAGGCACCTATCTCCTAAGCGTAAGTCTCCACAGAATAAAGAAGGCCCAGTGGGGCATCTCTGAGGCTGCACCTGAGCCACTGGTAGTTCCCGAAGGGGGCTGCGGATTCCTCAGCACCAGTCAATACCCTGATCTGGAAAAGGAGAAGGCAACCTATCCACAGGAAGAGGACCATTTTATCATTCCTGGTAGGGCTCAGGTATGGCTGGAGGACAATTTTGTAGGGTGCTAGAGGGTGATGTAGATCCTTAGTCTTGCACATGGAGACAGCTGAACCCAAGAGCCAGGTTGCATAGCTGAAGATGAGAGAAACAAAATAAGATAGGTGAAAGCCAGAGACTTGAGGGAAGGGGTGGCTGAACTATGACATCTGGAGAGAGCTGTATTTTTCCATACCTTCTTCTCTTTTTTCTTCTTAAATATAGCTGCTTTGGTCTCCCTGGAGTCCCCTGGGCCAGGAGGGGGCTTGCGCCTCCAGGCAGCAGAGCTCTCTGGTCTACAGCACTGTCACGGCCAGGAGGAACCCTGTTTGCAATCCCTGGGGGATGGAGTTCGAGTCTGAGGAATAAGGAAAAACCATCCCAAGACGCCAGTGCTGCTTTAAGGGCCCAAGACCTGTTCCGGAACTGCCCCACTCTTAGCACCGAAGAAGTTCCCACTCCTTTGCCTCTCCAACTGCTTATTCCATCCACCCGGGTAGGCAGTCACAGCCCTTGGGCTCCCACCTCATTCTCCCCTCTCACAGGAACTCCCCGCTTCTGGCCTTGTGTTAGTTTCTGTGTTTTCTGTTATTAAAGAACAAGCAAGTGGAGCCGGGAGTTGTCTTTCTCTCTTCGAAGCGGTGGTGGAGAAGCTAATCAGGAAGGGGCAGGGCCTCCTTTCACCTTCTGGAGGACCCAGCTGCGGAGAAGTCGGACTAGGTCCCCAGTTCGAGGAGCCCTGGTTGAGGCTAGAAGCGTCCAGAGATTCTCGCTGTCTCTTTGGGTTCCAACCCAGTTGTCGCCCCTGCTCCATCCTCCGGGACCTGGAGTCACGGCAGTCGGTCGAGCATACGCCTCCGGACCCCGGGACCTGGCGCCTCAGCACCACTGTCCCTTTAGGGACTTCCAAGCGGGCTGTCCTTCAGCTTGGCCCAGTCTGCCCAGAACCCCATGTGCGCTAACCCCAAGTTCCCTTCCCGACCCCCACCCCCTTAATTGAGAGGCCCCGCCCCGTGCGCAGTGACGTCGACGCCGCTGTCAGCCGGCGCTGGGGGGGTCGGTGTGGGGTAGAATGGCCGCTGCCGCCGTCACCCGCGGGACCCCGGGAGGTAAGAGCCAGGGCCTGTCGCCCTCCTCTCCGCCCCCGCGCCAGGGGGCGCAGCTCCACCTGGTCCCGCCGTAGAGCGCGGCGCCAAGGACCATGGTCCCTTCTCCCGGTTCCCCCTCCCCGCTTCCGTCCTCCTCCCCCGCGCCAGGGGGCGCCGCTCGGCGCAGGGCCCCACGGAGGTCCTGCGCGTGCTGGGAACTGGCCCGGAGACCCCCACACCAGGCACCCACACTGCCTCTCGCCCGCCGCGAGCTCGGGAGGGGTCTCTGCTTGAGGGTTCTCCTGAACATCCTCGTGTGCTGGAGGGCCCCTCCCACCTCGGAGGTTCTCCCGGGACCCCCGCCCTGCCATGAGGGGCTGCCCCAAGCTCCAGGCGTCCGAGTCCCGAGCCGCCCCCGCCCCCGCAGCCTAGATCCCACTCCCGCTCTGGACCCTGGCTGGCTGCCTAGCCTGGACTGCGCACCTGCGCCCTGGGGCGGAGTCCTTACCCCAACCGCAGCTTCACTGCACGGCCGAGCCTGGCCGGGCCTCCTCGCCCTCTTCATCCCTGACACCTGGTGGAGCCCGCACCAAGAGACTCCTCCAGCTCCCATCTGTTCCCCCAGAAAGGCTGGGGCTCAGACAGGAACCAGAGCTGTAGATGGGGCAAGGGTAGGCCTGGTGGCCAGGGGAGGCAGAGGTATTTGGGGAAATGGGTGCTGGTGGGTGGTGAGGGCTGTCAGCCTCAGGGCGGAGGATGGTCCCCAGGGTGAGAAGCGTGAGAAGCTCGGTTCTGTGTGTTTAGCCCAGTTTTCTACCAGGCCCTGACCAACCTGGACGAGAAAGAATAGGTGAGGTCACTTATCAGATCTGCCCTTCCCTTTGGAAAAATCAAATAGAGAAAGAACTCAGGGTGTGTCTTCCAAGGCCTAGCTCTGCACCCTGACCTAGACTTCCTGCCCTGTCCCAGAATCCAAGCTTTCTTGTCAAACCATCCTCCAAGGACTGGCTGAGTCCCAGCCCCCAGGACGTGACCCCACCATAACCCCAGCTGCTGCAAGGGCTGAGGCTATAGGGCCTCAGAGGGCCCAGCCATGACAGCCTTCTCCCCTCTTCCACCCACTTTTTTTTGCTGGTCAGTCTGTTCTGCGGTGTCTCCCCACTCATCTTCGTTCCTGGCACCATATCTGGGTTCTCTCTTGCTTCCATTCCCTGGTTCTACTATCACATCAGAATCTAGCCCCTTCTTCCTCATCTTTCCCAGATACTGCTGTCCAGTTCTGCATACCACCCCCCACTTTATGTTTCTCACCCTGGATTAAAGTGGGGGCTTCTGCTGTGACCTCATTCTCTTTTTCCAGCACGGACTCCCCCTCCCCCCGGCCCCTCAGGCCGGGGGTGACCTTGCCCCGACTGGAGCCCTCACCATGAATACCAAGGACACCACTGAGGTTGCTGGTGAGTTCACAAACCAGATTCCCAGGTTGGGCACAGCCTTTAGGTTCTCATGCATGGTGGCCCCTTGATACTTGGATTTTGTGCTCTCTTGTCCTGGTGGCAGTTTCCCCCATTTTTCCCTGGGCTGCCTCTCACAGGGATGCCAGAGCAGCACACTGAGCCTTCTCTTCTGGTTCCCTCCAGAGAACAGCCACCACCTGAAGATCTTTCTCCCCAAGAAGCTGCTGGAGTGTCTTCCTCGGTGCCCACTACTACCTCCAGAGCGACTCCGGTGGAATACAAATGAGGTTCTCTAGGGAGCCTGGGGGTTGGGGCCCAGCAGGACCTAGAGCTGAAGGAGGAGGATGAGTCTTTCTGTGTCTGTGGACACTCCTTAGAGCACTGATGTAGGCTCTTTGGGGCTCACAGGCAAAGTATAAAAACATAGATCTTGTAGGAGCCCACCTCTTGATGTATCCACAGCTGCCACCTATTAAGTATTTCTTACATTCGAGGCACTATGCTAAGCACTTGGCCTTTTATTATCTCGTATTATTACACTCATGTAACTGATTTACCTCTTGGAGTTTATCTGACTCACTGAAACCCCTACTTTTAACCACCACTGATACTGGCTGCTCCAGGAGAGTACAGTCCTTATGTTAAATACCTTCAGTATCTTGCATACTTAGTGCCTTGTATGTAGTTGGGGTTGAGAGTCATTGATTTGATGTTAGAATTGCCAGTAAAAGGGTATGTGTGCACATGTGATTGTTGCAAGTACTATGGAGCCTTCAGGAAGGGCCAGGGTGGTAGCAGGACTTCATGGAGCATCTAGAAAGCCTGTGGGATGACTGGGATTTCCAGACATGGAGAGATAATGCATGGCACTTCGGGCTTTTAGGTACTAACATGCAGGAGGAGGTAACCGTTCAGGGCATGTTCAGGGAGGAATCAATGGAATATAGTAAATAGTGGGAATGATGGTTTGATACCTTGGAGTCAAGCTAAAGAATCTGGAATTCTTGGTGATGATAAGCCATTGAAGTTTTTTCTCAAGAAGGGGGTGTCAAGTGGGATTTAGGAAGAGTAAAATCATACACAATATGAAGAATGGATGATGAACTTGAATCGGACTGTGAGACATAGGCTCCAGTTGGGAGGGACAGAAGGAGAACAGATTAGATTTTGTCTGTGATGGAACCTGAGATTCTTAAGAGGGCAGTAGGGCTAGGTGTGTTGGTGCATGCCTGTAATCCTAGCATTTGAGAGGCTGAGCCAAAAGGATTGCTGCAAGCTCAAGGCCAGCCTGACCTACACAGCAAGATCCTGTCAAAAAAAAAGAGGGCACTGGGCCCTTGCTGGACCCAGATACCTGGAAGCATCCTCCACTTGCTACACAACTCCCAGAGAGTGAGAACTTGAGGTGATGACCAAGAGGCCAGTCTGCGACTTTATGGAGGGAATACTTATCTGAGTGCCTTGTTTCCTATAGGAGATTGCATCCTACCTGATCACCTTTGAGAAGCATGATGAGTGGCTATCTTGTGCCCCAAAGACAAGGTGAGAAAGTTCTCAAAGGTGGGGAAATGGCAGGGGTCATGAGCTCTATTCACAGAACTCGAGGCCAACCTTTCCCTTTCTAGGCCTCAGAATGGCTCCATCATCCTCTACAACCGCAAGAAGGTGAAATACCGGAAGGATGGTTACCTCTGGAAGAAGCGAAAGGATGGGAAGACCACCCGAGAGGACCACATGAAGCTGAAGGTCCAGGGCATGGAGGTGAGAGGATCAGGCATCCAGTCACCTGCCTTTGCCCCACCTCCTCCACCCATAGCTGGGCTGTAGCCCTGCCAGGGCTTGAGGACACTGTCTGCCTCCCCCCTTTCCAGTCACTCTTCTCTCTGCTCATTTTGGATCAGCTGACTGATCACTGAGCTCACTTGGCTTCCCATTTCCCTCTATGACCCAGCTTTCGAGGCCTTTAGGACACTGAAGCCCAGCCCCCTTGCCTCTCTTGCATTTCTCACAGGGATCTAAACAGTGATGCTCTAAACACAGGTTTCTCTTCCCAAATCATTGCTTCTTAGGTGCATTCTTGCTCTGCCCTTGGATTTCTAGATAGTCCTATAGCTTTGATCTAGCCCTCATTATAAAGTCCCACTCTTCCCTTCTCTCTGTCCCTTATCTATGACTTGGGACTGCTGGACTTTGAAAGGTGTGGGGAACAGGTGGGGGTGACAAGGGGTTGAAGATGAACTGGTTGAAAGATTGGGGTTCCTGCAAAGGGACTGAACAGAGGAAGACTTGGGGAGTAGACTAGCCCTCCCCCCACCCCAGCCTGTCTCCTGGCAGTGTCTCTATGGCTGCTACGTTCACTCTTCCATCGTCCCCACATTCCATCGGCGCTGCTACTGGCTGCTCCAGGTAAGGATGGAAGAACTCAGGGAGTCAGAGTCTTCCTGGCTCTTTGAGGGACATGTGGGTCTGAAAGGACAAAGTGGAAGGATAAACAGATTCTAAGTGGGAAGAAAAGATAGGAGGGTTGGAGATGGAATGAGAAACTGGGGGGGGGGGGCTGCTCAGGAAGAAGGTGAAGATCTCAGGACCCCATGCCTCTCTGCGCCTTTGTGCTCTCAGAACCCTGACATCGTCCTTGTGCACTACCTGAACGTCCCAGCCCTGGAGGATTGTGGAAAGGGCTGCAGCCCCATCTTTTGTTCCATCAGCAGCGATCGACGAGAGTGGCTGAAGTGGTCCCGGGAGGAGCTGTTGGGACAGCTAAAGCCCATGTGTAAGGAGCAGGGCAGGGATAGAGCTTCAAGTAGAGAGTGGAAACAGGACCTCCCAAAGGTGCTACAGTTCTATACCAAGAAGCCTATGGGTGACAATTTTCCTCTAAACTGGAAGGATGCTTTCCTGCAGGAATTCTACCATTCCATGCAGTGTAAAGTGTGGGATATAAAGAAGGGAATGAAGGACAGCTGTGAACTACATGTCACAGCAGTCTTGAGGCTGCTGGCCTCTATTCAGCACATCAAGTGCTTAGAGGAGCTCCTCAAGGTATTTTGGAGGTCCCAC